ACAAGTGCCACGCTAGTAGTAACAGGTGCCTTACTAGTAGTAACAAGAAGCTACTAGGAACAAGTGACCGTCCACGGTCAACATCTCCGACTCCGACAGAGTGTTTTTCGAGAGTTGGGAGCCCTCACTGGACTGGACATTGTAGACGGCGGTGTTGGCTGGAGAAACCTGAAAGCAAAAAAAGAAAGAAAACGGTCTCTTTTGCAGGGGCCGTGTAGCTAGTAGGTTGGAGGCCTAGGTTGGAGGCCATTGCTAGGTTGGAGCAAGGGAGTGTAAAGTAGGCCCAGGTAGGTCGCATCTTGAGGAGCGAACAGACTCGTGAGCATGTTTTTCTAGATGCAAGGATGCAAAAGGAATGAATTCTTCAAGGAAAACTATCCCACTTTACGGTGAGAGAAGCTTTCTTGAAGAACTCTTTGAACTGTCGAAATAGTTCCTAGACTAGGGAAATGAAGCAGTCCTACTGCTTTCTAACAACTCCGTTGTTCTGTGTTCCTGGCTGCTGCTGGTGCCACAAAGAGCGCAAAGGGCCCCTGTGTCATGTTGAGTTGCCTGGCCAGACCCCGTCAGCTCGTCGGCTCGTCGGAGTCGTTTCAGCCAGTGCCGGCTCGGCGAGAGCACTTGTTCCATCTCAAGCTTGGAGATCTCCACACCACCAACTTGCACAGACCTAACAGGAAGTACGAATGAGAACCATACAGAATCAATAGAAACTCTATGATAAAAGCTCAAGCGGTCTTTTCATGTGATCAATGTGTGCGACTCTCCAGAATCTTCGAATGCACATCCTCTTGAGCAGCTGGCAGCAAGCGATCTCCGCTCACCGTGGGGGTGACGCGACATTCGTAAAGCCCTGTGCTACCACTGGTCGCTGGGCTGCAAACCTTGGAGATTCGACAGCACGGCGACCTACGAACGCGATGGCCTCCAACCTGCCAGAAAGCAAAAGCAAAAGCCCAACATCTGAACTTGATACTCAGCATCGAACACCATCATCCACCTGCGGGCCAAGAAACGAGCTTCATCGTCAAGGATTGAATCAAGTGTGGAAACGAACATCAACGGAATGCAAAAAAAACTTGAAGTTGTTCCGTCCTCATAGGGTGCCATCGCTATTAATGGTTTTCACAGCGCTTTCCGCTTTATCCACTTTCCTGCCTGGCTTACTGGCGGTAGTGAGCTCACGCGGATGGTGATCGCTCCAGCAGGGGACGATGCCCTGAAAAAGCTCTTCAAAATTGATTGAAAACAAGCATCAAAGAAGCATGCTGCATGAAGCGTTCTGGAAAAAAGACATCCGCAAACTAAGGGTACCTATCGAAAATGCCAGACCCAAGGACCAAAGAAAGGAAGAAAAAGAGAAAGTTCCACCACGGAAAGAAAATGAAAGAAAACTAACTCATCACTCATTGTTGCTTCTGTTGCCGTCTCCTCTTGGTCTTGGGTCTTGACTGTTCTTCTGGTCTATCTTCTAAGCCACGCGGCAGGATGTTTCCGTAAGCGTCGCGGAGCTGCACTTGAAAAGTGATCTCATCGCCCGCCACAACCTGCCCGCGATCGGTCGAGATCGAGAGGTCGAGAGGTATGATATGTAATATATGAGTAGTAACAAGTGCCACGCTACTAGTAACAGGTGCCTTACTACTAGTAACAAGAAGCTAGTAGTAACAAGTGCCTTACTACTAGTAACAAGAAGCTACTTACTACTTATAGCTTCCTTTCCTCTTTTTCTTTAGACCTTTAGACCTTTCTGTCTTTATGGTGTTCTTTCTTTCTTTGTTCTTTTCATTCAGTGCTTTGTGTTTCCCACCGTGGAGGGCGGCATGGTGCTTTCTGCCAGGCTCTTCGCCCCATAGGCAGCCGCAGCGGGATCGCCACGCAAGTTGAAGGGCGAGTTGTAGACGTTGCCACCGTTGATCTGCAGCGTGCAGAAAGCGTGCACAAAAATCGTGTACAAACGAACAAAGAAATGTAAAAGCACTGCACTAAGCACTTTGGTGCCCCCATAGTCTTCGTCTTGTGAGTCGAAACGATGAAGATGCATGAAGTGGCCCCACAAGACCAGGCCTTCACAAAAAGTTTGTGGGACCCTTCTCGCAAAGCGGTATACTTGATCTCATACCTCGAGACACAAAGCGTTCTTCCCACGCGAAGGCTCGCCGCAGCGCCGTCAGTGCTCAAGTAAGTGTCCCTAAAGATCTAGGAACCACATGAACAGTACGAGCACCATTTTCTACTTCCATATGCAGTAGCTAGGAGCGAACGTCTCCCTTACTTAAGTAAGTAGGAGCGGGCTATTTCCAATGGCCTTCTTCGGTTCTGCGGTTCTGAGCTCCAAACTGCCCAAAGCCGATGTAGGTGGAAGTACCGTAGAAATATCTGCCGGAGCGGAGCAGCGGAGCAGGCTGGAAGTGTTTTGGTTCCGGTCTCATTGGTTCCATCGCTAGTAGGTTGGAGGCCATCGCTACTAGGTCCATCGCCGTTCCACCGCTTTTCACAACTTGCCAAGCTCCCTGGCCGACCGAACTCAGCATTGTTCAGCGGCGTGTCATCCAAGACGTTCATCGTCTGAGAAGACAAAAAGATCGGTTTCCATGGCCTTATGATTCCTTGCAAAGCTGACAATTCAATTTAAAAAAAAAAGAAAAACAGCTTTCTGTTTTTTGTCGAACAAACTCGACGCTCTTGGGCATCGACGGTGAGTGTGTTGTATGCTTCCCACTCGATGGATGCGGTCACTTCTCCAACCTGTCGCATCGATGCGATGCACGCGGAAACGCCGCGGAAACGCCGAGCACCTGCTCATCCAGTGCGTTGCCATAGGCGTCTCTGGCTTGGACGATGAAGGTCGCTTCTGTACCGGCAATGAACTCAATGGCTCCCTGAGTGATGGAGGGGACATCGAGTCTGGTAGCTGGAAAGAAGGAAAAAAGAAAAAGGAAATGAAAGATTTGAAGGTCCAAAGGTCAAAAGAAATGAAATGAAAAGAAGAACATAGTGCACATAGTGCATGTCCGGAAAGAACAATAAAAAACAAACAATAAGATGTTGAACCGCCTTCTTTTTAGCATGAAATGCAGTTTCGGAGTGGTCATGGGCTCCATGAACAACACTTGATGTGGCCAGTGGCGAGGCCGCTCACAGTTGAATGTGCAGATGAGACTTGCCCCGGTCCTGAAAGCATGCAAAAGCATGCAAAAAGAAAGCAAAAAATAGTTCTTCACGCATGTCTCAAGGAGAAAAGCCTTTCAAGAATCAAGAAAACATAGTGTTTCTTGATAACAGATCATCTTTAATCTCACTAAGTTTGAGGCGCGCAATGAAGTCGAAAGGGCTATCCTGCCACAACGAAGAAAGAGGTTGCCTTCCCCAGTATTAGGATGCTATTGGGTGGAGGCCATCGCAAGTAGGTTGGAGGCCATTACTACTAGTAACAAGAAGCTATTAGCTTATTGTTTCTACTAGCTTTTTGTTACTACTAGTAAGGCACTTGTTACTACTAGCGATGCACTTGTTACTACTAGTAACAAGAAGCTACGAACGTAGCTAGATATCTCCTTTTCCATTTGCTTCACGCAAAGGTGCACAGATCAGTGGAAAGGGTGCCCTTCAATGGAGACCTTGAGACCACCCTGTCGGTGTAACACTCGTTCTTTTTCTCTTCCTTCCTCTCTGTCCTTTCTTCAGACCTTTCTTCTTCCCTTTCTTCAGACCTTTGTTCTCTGTCTTCGTTCGTCTGAGATATACCACCGGTCCTTGATCTGTCGGCCATTCAATGATGCGGTCACCCGGTAGGTGCCGGCCACATTCACAAGATACCTGCCGGCCACGTGCCAGCACTTTCACAAGCAGCCGAAGCAGCAGCAGAGTCACTCGACTTTGTAGAGCCCATCCATGGCATCTGGATTCACCTCATGTCAAAACCATGTCAAAGCCATCAAACGTATATAACTGTTCAAAAGATCCTAGGATCGTTTTTTTTGCATGTAAAGAAAACATCAAACCGTGTCGAAACGATTCATAAGCATACCACATCGCTAAGAAGACATGAAAAAATATGTGTGTTAAAAAGAAGGAACTTAAAACAAAGAAAAAGGGGTGAGAAACAGGAAGGTGTTTGGGTCTCTCTCATGCCAACCCTTACCAGCCTTACCTTCCTTTTCTTCCTCTACAACTTGTGCCAAGGAGCAGGTGATGAGACCACAGTGAAGGTCACCGCCGGACCATTGAAGGTCACCTGAGAAAGACGTTTTCGTGTGGACATCCGAAAGCCGCACGGTCTCTGAGGGAGGCTCCATAGGCTCCATGCATGTGTTTGGTGCTTTATTTGGATTCTTGGGGATAAGTAGGGATAAGCTAAGTACATAGCAATGGCCTCCAATCTACTAGCGACGGCCTCCAACTCTCATTCTTGCAAAGTTATCTTTATTCATGCAAAGTACACATTCTCTCTTCACTTTCTCGTTTGCACCTGAAAGACCTCCTGGTTGCTCTTCAACAAGTTGTCTGCCTTGGTAGAATTCTGGCTTGCCATGCTCCACACAATATTCATTCTTCAAAAAGCGGCTCTCAAACCGGCTGAGTGGCAGAGTCTTTTGCCTGGATGTAGAATGCACGCGACCTGAGTGTCCAGCATCTGAGTGTTGGGTAGATGGGTTGCTAAAGCAAAACTCTGAGCGCTCTGTGTTTCCACTGAGGTCTTTTCTCAAGGCACCTTGCGCCGGTGAGATACTCACCATACGCCACACTGTTGTCTGCATTTACGGTGCCGGTGGCCACCTGCACGATGCACGATGCGAAATGAGCCTTTCATTTGACCTTGAGCATGTTCTTCTTGTGACTGTGCCTTGCCTCCAAGAGAACAGGCGCGCCATTGATAATGGGCCCTTTGAAGAGTTGGCCAGGATTGATGAAGCCTCAAAAAAGACAGAAAGACCCAAAAACCACCCTCGTTCCGGGGCCGCTGTTTCGGAGCGCCTCGAGACGTCGAGAACGATGCCCATTCCAAGCTCAGCGTCGCATTTCCAGCCACCTCCGGTGCGCCCGTCGAGTCGGCCCTCCACGTCGACGCATCGAAACTGGCACGGCGATGAACGCGTCGTGTGGGCGCGTTGAACCAAGGCACTCGTGTTGGTCAGCAGAGCTGCACAGTTGTGTCACTCAACTCTGGTCAATTGCTCACTCTGACTCTCGACTTGATTCAACTGCCGAGGCTTGGGAAGGTGGAAGGATCCAATAGAGTACAGAATTAAACTAAAGAAGAAATTCGGAACACGTTGTTGAAACCCACGAACCCGGTGTCAACGCTGAAACGGCCGTTGCAGCCCGCCGTGGCCTCTCTGAACTCTAAGCGGATAGAGGCCAATTCACCAGCTGTGAGCGCAATGTTTCCCCAGAATTCCTGTGAGCGCAGCTGTTCAACTCAAACAAACATACAGGAGAAGATCTTCCACATTTTTTGACAACACCTATAGATGTATAGTTATGTGTATACAATGAAAATAGTTTTTAGACTGATCGGGTCGCTTTACTCTAATTGGGAGCTCCTGGCAGCACTCGTCCCACTTGTCGAAAAGCAGGACTCCGTTCACCCAGAGCCTGGAAAGAAGTTCTTTCTCTTGTGCAACACACTCTAACAGCTTCTTGTTCCTAGTAGTAAGGCCAGGAGCGCCTAGTAGCGTCCTTGCTCCTAGTCCTAGTAGTAAGGCCAGGAGCGCCTAGTAGCGTCCTTGCTCCTAGTAGTAAGGCCAGGAGCCCCTAGTAGCGTCCTTTGCTCCTAGTAGCGGGATTGCTCTTATGCACTTTGAGGCGCAATATGTGCACCACACTGTGCAACATAATGTGCAGCGCTGCACCTGGCAGAGTCATCCGCATTGACATAGAAGGTGTAGGTCTCTGAGAAATCCGGCAGCACGAAGCCTGGCACCGGTGCAATGCTCGACCGACCGGACGGCCCGAATCGCTGGTATGGTGACGTCCATGAGGACTGTGCGCATGCCACACCTAGTGAAGGAAGAAATGAAGAACAAAAGGACACCAAGGACACAACAGAAATGAAGGAAAATTGACACTCAAAAAAAGACACATGCATCCTTGCGCCACTAGTAAGGCTTGACAAAAGGCGTAGAAGATTGCTTTTGATCACTCTCAGGCAGGAAGGAAGCAACAGCTACAGCCTAATGAAGACAAAATGATACAAGACCAGTGCAATGAGTTCCAGTGACCGTATGGGAAGCCAAAAAAAAGAATGAAAGCAACGGCGGAAGCGATGGCCTCCAACCTAATGGAGCGATGGCCTCCAACCTAGAAGCGATGGCCTCCAACCTACTTGCGATGCCCTCCAACTTAAGCGATGGCCTCCAACCTAATGGAGCGATGGCCTC